GCGAACTAGTTTGGATAGCCGCTTACGGTTTCCTCTTCGATTTGGAGTCACGACTCCGTAACAATCTTTCTCCATTAGCGCAGTATTCTTCCACGCATTATATGGAGTTAGCCGGCGGCGAGAGACCAACCATTGTGATTGGCGGGAAGGGATCGTCCCTCTCATCTGCGGACGTTTATGCGGTTGCTCGTGGCTTTCGCAAGGTAGCCATCGATCCTGCTGCACTCGAAAGGTTTTCCCGTTCCCAGTCCCCTCCTCCTCATCCAGCTGCAGTTGAGTCCATTTCCAAATTTTTAACTTCAGCTGAGTCCCGCGCCGCTCTTGTGGTTCTCATTAACAAGCTGGTCGTCTCGGACGGAGCCGTATGGCCCATCTTCCTCTCTCTCATCGGGGAAATTCTTGGTTTACAATCAGGGCACAGTTCTCTCGATTTCGGTTCCACAGGTGGGCTGGTTACCTCTCTCTTTAAGTTGAACGGAAAACACCCAGTCTGTCACCCAGATGAGTTTGTAGGCGCCACCAAGGATGAGATCAGCTTATTAGAGAAATCCGCTGCCGCCTCTGTTGGGATTTGCGCGATGCTGGATTGTTGCGCTTCGGCACTGGTCAAGCTATCGGATGCCGTTGCCGCGTTCTCCTGCGAAGCTGCTAGGGCTGATGTTGTTCTGTTTGATTTGCCGCCATCAGGGGATGTATTCTCCATTAAATATGAGACGGATGTGGCAGCTGATATCAAAGCTTTTCTTTTTGGATCGAATACCGTGGGCCGTTTAAATTCAGGTCCCTTCAGTGGTATGGTATCCCTGCTGTTCACGGTACTTTCCGAGGAGCTGTGAGGGCTTTGCATGGTAGAACCGGAGTGGAGTTGAATTCTTCAATTAATGTGAGGAAGAATGCAGTTGGAGTGGTGAGTCGTTGGAAGGAGGATGCATTGGTTGCTTTAGTTTTGCCACTGGCAATGTCAATTCAGTCTATGTGTGAACTTAGCTTGGGGAGAGAAATGACTGTGGCTACATTCTTAGGTAATGAAGAGAAAAGGAAAAAATCTGATCCGGAAGCAGTTTTTTTTTAAATCAAGCACAATCCCTCTCTCATTACACCCAAGCTAGGGCATCCCTTATTAAAATCCTCCATAAAAAGTTTATGGAGGATTTTAATAAGGGATGCCCTAGCTTGGATGTAATGAGAGAGGGATTGTGCTTGATTTCAAAGAAAGCTGCTTCCGGATCAGATTATGTAGAGGTTTTGCATGGGGTATATGAATTGTTGGTAATATTGAAAGAGATTCTTGTCTGGGAGGCAGAAATAGCTTTGTATGCACTTGAGTTGGATGATTCAATTGAAAAACAAGAGGTCAATGATCCAGCTTGTATCAATGTGAATACTGAAAATGAAAAAGTTGAGAAGAAGGTTGAGAAGAAGAAGAGAAAGAAAACTCTAGGAAGGGGAACCTCTATTTTGTGGAAGGTTTTCAAAGATATGTTAAATTCACAAAATGATGCATCCATTGACAATGTGGCCACTTTTGGCATTGGGCAGAGCTGCTTGCACTGTATTTTGATCCTGAGGAAACGAAGCTTGATACACTTTTAGGAAAAATCAAGGAGATAGTTGAGAGCAATGAAGTCAGAAGGCTATCAAAGATTCCCAAAGTGAGAACTTTGCTTTATACTAAAAATTTTGAAGCTTATTGACATTTTAGTTGTTATTTTTCAAGCATCTTTACAACTCTTTGGATTTGTGGGTTTATGCATCTCAAGAGATAATAAGAAATAGTTTAGCATTTTAAGGTTGAAGTTTGAGATATAGTGGGTGTGTTTTAGTTAAGTATTTTTCTTGGATTTTTATTATTTTCTAATACCCTTATGCAAGAATGCCTTAATGTAAAATTGCACTAAAATTGTTTCCTCATTTACTTATAAGTATCAATATTTTGATAACCATAACTTTAATGCTTAAAATAGTTCACTAGATCCAACATTTAGATGGAATTTTTTTTCTTTTAAATTAAAAAAAAAAAGTTTTGGTCACCTCAATAATATATTTGTATGTGAATGCATAAATTTTTGACTTTGAGGTGATGCTTGTGTATGCCAACTCTTAGGGGATCAACCCAATGATTATGGAGATATCAGCCCTGTCACATGACACATCAGAATGAAAAGGAATGATGCTAAAAAAGAAAAAATTTATCGAAATATCTCATCCAACTATGTTGAATATCTTCTTCTAATAAAAATACTCTTTTTCGAGGATGTATCAAAGGTAATAGCCATTCAAAATATGACTCATTCTCATCTCCCATTGTTGCCTCCTCTATTGCTACTCTTGACCTAAACATCCATGTTTTTTACTCCAAATAATAGCAATGAATGTGCAGCCTCCCCCTCTCCCTTTAGGTTGGATGGTTCCTCCAGTAATCCATGACTGAACATCTCCTCAAACTTTTGTCAACCCAAGAGCAGCCATTGAAATATTAGATAAGAGGTTCCCTTCTATTTCAGATTCTATATCCATTCAAAACACATTATTTAAGCTAAATTTGTGCAACCAGCTACCTCTAAGAGTAGAAAAAGTAGAGATTTAAATGAGCTGCTCATCAATCTTTTTAATAACATACATCTTCAACTCTGGCCTTTGGAAACTTCCTAATATCTACTTCTCTTTCAATGGGTTTGATAAGCAATTGGATTAGGTACTTGTTGGATAGAGCATATGGCTACAAAATATTAAAAGATCAATAAAATACCCAAAAAAATTATCTCATCTTCCACATCCAAAATTAAAGAAGAACAGGCAAAAGCAGAAATTAGCAGAACATCCTAACCATGGAATAAATGCATATGGCCCTCCCATATAGCTACAATACATTTAGGAATCAACATGCATGCATCTTGTATTTTTCAATCATAATCTTAACCTTCAACAAGCCAATGATTCTTCATCATACAGCCATATATCTTACAAGCCAAAAGAAATTTGATTGTAAGAGCCAAAGGAGACATTAATAAAGTATTCTTTGCCAAACATTCTTGCACTAAATGATGTAGCTACAAAACAAGAAAATTTGAATGTGAAAAAAAATATGCAATGTTTTGATGGTAAAATACAAAATCTTCCTGTAAAACATCAAAATTTACTCAAAAAAAATATGTTGCATAAAGTTCTAAGTTATCTGGAAATAGGCATGCATGTCAATAACAAGTGTCTTTCTATAATCTTTAATTTTGTGCTTTACTTTAAGTAGAGAATTCGTTTTCCAGAACTTGACTTAAGATATTTGAAATTCTAAAAACAACTTAAAGGTAAGACTCTTTAAGTAGATAGGTTGAATTTTCAATTAATCTTTGATATTATCGATCACACGTCTACTTTCGGTCCTTCATCGATCTAAGTTCGACTTTTGATCTGATTTAATTAAAATTTCACAAGGTTGGCAATCAATCATTTTTGTCTCTTTTATTATGGTCATGATATATTTTTATAAAAAGAAAGAAAATTATTCCTTATTCTCATTAAACCACTTCTATATCCGAGAAGTATTTAAATTTTATTTTCTCCACTTTTTTATATCAAATTCTTTAACAAGCTTTCTTTGAGGAACTTTTATTACGTCCTCTGATCTACGTCCGGTCAGAGGATTGCTACTCGGTTTTTACTCTGTATTTGGTCGGTATTGTTTGGTAATAACGAGGAATACCGCTCATGAAGACCAATACCGAGTTTTTTCTAAAAAAACTCAGTATTTTTTGGTATTACTCGGTATTGCTCGGTATAACTCGGTATTTTGTTTTCACATAATGATATTTTCTCGTTATTGTTAGTATTGCCCGGTATTTCTTTTTTTTTTCGTGTGATCTTAGTGCCGGCCGAACGTAGCTCTACGTACACCGGATGTAAAAAAAGTTCTTCTTTGAGGGACTCTTTTTCTTTATTATCATCATATTTTAATATTATAATAATAAATAATAAAATATTAAATATATGAAATAAATTTATAATATTAAAATAAATCACCGATGTCATCATACAAAAGGTGAGTTCAGAAACCGCACAGATGAAATATGTGTCACATGAACCCATTTATTAACCTCTAATAATTATTTGTCTCACGCTCCCAAACAACAGAACAAATCCAACGGCCATTTTTCCTCAGATCTACTAAGCTTATTTACTTTTCATTCTCCGCTGTTTCAATAAAATAGGAAAGAAACAAGTACGAACAATTATTACGTCTTCCGACCCGACCTAGAGGAACGTCTGATCGGAGGTCAAATCGTACCAAAAAACGAGAAATACCAAGCAATACCAAACAATAAAGAGGAATACCATCACGTGAAGACCCAATACACCGAGCTATACCGAGTTATACAAAAGTTGTATCGGGTTTAAAAAAATTCGGTACAACTCGGTATTGCTCGGTATAACTCGGTATTGGTCTTCACAGAGCGGTATTCCTCGTTATTATCAAATAATGCCTAGCAATACCGAGCAAATACCGAGTATTTTAGCGGGATTTTGCCTCCGACCGGACCTTCCTCAACGTACTTACACCCAACATAATTAAAGTTCAACAAGTACACAGTAAAAAATGCGACCAGCGAATCCACCGTTACGTTCCAAAGCCTGCAGATCTTGTCCGTTGATTCTATTTGTTAAACTATTTTTATTATGATGAAAATGACTAATTTACCCTAGAAATTGTTATCATGCTCTGTGAAACTTATAGCTCAATGGCATGTAAGTAAATTGCAAGAAATCCGGGATCAGTCTTGCTACAGGACCAGGCCCATGTTGACAGAGACTCCGAGCGTTCCCACGTGGATCCGACGTGTGCGTTATGACGTGGCGGTCCCTCCCCAAGTCCTCCTCTGGTTTAAAAGCCCACGTCCACCTTCGCTTCCACTGGTAACGGTCGACTCGCATAAACCAATAGAAAGCTAAAGCGAACTCAATATCCAGTAGATCGCCGGAGAATTGGAGCGTGGTGGCCGAGAAAAATGGCGGAGGGCGGAGGGAGAAAGCTGGTGGTGGAAGTGTCAAACGCGAGGAACCTGATGCCCAAGGACGGGCAGGGAACGGCGAGCGCGTACGTGATGGTGGACTTTGACGGCCAACGCCGGCGGACGAAGACTAAGTGCAGGGATCTTCATCCGCAGTGGGACGAGAAGCTCGAATTCGTTGTCCAAGATCCAGAAGCTTTGGCTTCCGAAACTCTGGAACTCAACGTCTACAATGACAAGAAGAATGCCCGCCGGAATACTTTCCTCGGAAGGGTTAAGATCTCCGGCTCCAGCTTTGCTAAGCTGGGAGATGAGTCGCTAATCTACTACCCGTTGGAGAAAAGGAGCGTTTTTTCGCAGGTCAAGGGTGAGATTGGTCTCAAGGTCTATTATGTTGACGATGATCCTCCACAGCCGGTAGATGCTCCTCTGGTTGATACCCTGGAGAAGAAGACGGGTGCTACGGCGGAGGAGAAGACGCAAGAGGAGGACAAAAAAACTGAAGAGAAGAAGGAAGTTGATGAACAAAAAACAGAGGATGTGAAGGCAGAGGAGAAACCGCCAGAGGAAGAGAAGAAGCAGGTGTTGCCGGTGATAGCACCGTCATGCCCGGCAAGGCAGCCGCATCATTCACATTTCAGAGACCTCGAGATCAAACTCCATGGCAGCGAGCGCGCCGGCGTCTCTTACGACCTAGTTGACCTCGTTCCTTACCTCTTCGTCCGCATCCTTAAGGCAAAGCACGCCGTCCGGGAAGCCAACGACGACGCTACGCTCGATCGATTTGTCTTCGCCAAAATAGTCATCGGCAGTCATACAGTCAAGACTAGAACGGTGAGGCTAAACTCGTCCGACTGGGACCAAGTCTTCTCCTTTCATAAAGAGAGCCTCAATTCCACATTTTTAGAAATCTCCGTCCACGAAGAGAAGAAAGACGGCGATGCCATCACTGAAAACGACAGTTTCGGCGCCGTCTCCTTCGACCTCTCGGAAATTCCGAAGCGTTCGCCGCCCGATAGTCCCCTCGCACCGCAATGGTACACTCTTGAAAGCTCCTCGCCAGAGACTACCGAAATCACCGACGTGATGCTTACCATCTGGGTCGGCACCCAAGCCGACGAAGCCTTCCCTGAAGCCTGGCAGTCCGACTCCGGCGGCCTTCAAGTCCACACCCGCTCAAAAGCCTATCTTTCCCCCAAACTCTGGTACCTTCGTCTCACCGTCATCCAAACCCAAGATCTGCGCCTTGAGACCATCCCCGACTCAAAATCCCACAACCCCGAGCTGTTCGTTAAGGCGCAGTTCGGCAGTCAGGTCTTCAAAACCGCAAAAATCTCCCTCTCATCCTCCTCCGCAACTGCCAACCCCAGCTGGCTCGAAGACCTTATATTTGTCGCCACCGAACCCTTCGATCCCTTCCTGACCCTCTCCGTCGAAGACGCCAGCGCTGGTCAGCCGGTTGGCAACGCAAAACTTCACCTTTCCACCATTCACCGTCGCATCGACGATCGCGCCGAACCACCTTCCCGCTGGCTAAACCTCGCCGGGGACGACGAAGCCTGCCCGTACGCCGGCCGCCTCCACGTCCGTGTCTGCCTCGAAGGCGGCTACCACGTCCTCGACGAAGCCGCTCATGCCACCAGCGACGTACGCGCCGCATCCAAGCAGCTTTCGAAGCCCCCCATCGGTCTCCTCGAAGTTGGCGTCCGGGGCGCCTCCAACCTCCTCCCAATTAAGCTCACCAAGCACGGCGCCTCAAGCTCCACCGATGCCTACGCCGTCCTCAAATACGGACAGAAATGGGCCAGAACCCGAACCATCCTCGACCAATTCAACCCGCGCTGGAACGAACAGTACACCTGGGAAGTCTTCGACCCCTGCACCGTTCTCACCGTCGCCGTCTTTGACAACTCTCGTGTTTCCAAAGCCGGCGCCGGCAAGCTAGTTAAAGACTCCAGCATCGGAAAAGTCCGCGTCCGCCTCTCCACCCTCGACACCAACCGCGTGTACCTCACATCGTACCCATTGACGTTGTTGACTCCGTTTGGCGCCAAGAAAATGGGCGAGCTTGAGCTCGCCATCCGCTTCACCTGCACCTCCTGGCTCAGCTTAATCCAGTCCTACACATCCCCAATGCTGCCACGTATGCACTACGTGCGTCCACTGGGTATTGCGCAGCAGGACGTGCTCCGGCAGACGGCAGCGAGGGCTGTGGCAGGGCGGTTAGCAAGGTCGGAGCCGCCGCTGGGACCGGAAGTAGTGCTCCACATGCTCGACACGGACGCTTACACGTGGAGCATGCGCCGGAGCAAGGCCAACTGGTTCCGCCTCGTCGGCTGCCTCTCGCGGGCCGCGGCGGCGGCCCGGTGGGTCCACGGAGTCTGCACCTGGGCCCACCCAACGACAACGGTTCTCGTCCACCTACTTCTGCTGGTGGCAATGACGTGGCCGGGGATGATAATCCCGGCGGTGCTGATGTTTATGAGCGCGATGGTGGCGTGGAGGTACAGGAGACGAACGGGCTGGTCCGGCTGGCCAGGTGGAATGGACACGTGGCTTTCGTGCGTGGATCGGGTTGCCATTGATGAACTGGACGAGGAATTTGACGACGTGCCGAGCGGGCGGTCGGCGGAGTTGGTACGGGAAAGGTACGATAGACTGCGGGTGGTGGCCGGCAGGGCGCAGGGATTGCTCGGTGACTTGGCGGCGCAAGGAGAGAGAGTGGAGGCGTTGTTGACGTGGAGGGATCCGAGGGCGACGGGAATGTTCGTGGCGGCCTGCGTGGCGGCGGCGGTGATGTTCTACGTTGTGCCGTTTAAGTTAATGGTGTTAGGTTGGGGGTTTTATTATTTTCGGCATCCGAGGTTTCGGGGAGATATGCCGGCGGCGGGATTTAATTTCTTCCGGCGGCTGCCTTCGATGGCGGATCGGATTCTCTGAAGGAAGGCGATGATGAATGCCGGAAAAGTGTTTTCATTTAATTCATTTGTTAATGTGTTTTAGATCTGATAATTAAGAAGCTTAATAATGTTTGATTTTGACTGATGAGAGCTTAATTATCCGAACTGTGGTTTATTTATTGCTGTATGGTTACGGACCGTTGAGCTATTCAAATTAGACTAACGTTCAAAAAATATATTTTTTAAAAGAATTCATTTCCTTAAATTTATTTCTAAATGAAAAAGACTTTATAATTCATTTACATTATTTATTGTCTCATTAATAAATTATTAAAAACAAAAAATGAAAATAAAAATTAACATAAATTTCATTTACATAAATTTACTATTAACATCAAGAGAATCATTTATTATTTACAATAAATAGTTCACAATAAGAAATGTTATATTATTCTGATATAATTATAACATCCACTTTGCAAACTTTTTTTTTTTCATGATATAGATATTATTGTACTTTAATTATAATATTTTTTTATAATTTCAGGAGCAGTGTAGAAAGTGACATATATCGGTACAAGTGATATTTTTTTGAACCGTTAGATGTCTATTTTGCAAACTGGTTTCACCAGTCTTTTAGATATGCTAGGTTATGTTATGAATATGTGTTCATAATTTTAGAGCTCCATATTTGAAGATACAAAATAATTTATAAGAATTTTATGCTTAAAATATAAACAATTGACATAATTACATTTTTGTCCTTCAAATATTTTATTAAAAAAATATAAAGTCACTCACCAAACTTATTAAATGCCAATTTACTCATTCCGTTTAGCAGAGAACAGAGAATAAAATAGGTAAATTCAGAAGAAAAAAGAGGAAAGAGAAAATAAAACATAGGATTTAGAGGTCATAGAGCGGTTTTTATAGTTGATCATGTTGGGAAAGTTGTTCATCTCGAGGTACATTACCATTATCCTACCTATAATTTCAATTATTTTTTGTAGTTTGTATTTTATGAATTTTAATTTGGTTAAAATGTACAAAAGTTGTGATATCTTGATCTTTAGCAAACTTTCACAGCATAACTTTTGGCTTTTCATAAATATTATCAATATGAGCATTTTGACTAAAACATATTACATTTTTATAGAGAAGATTTTGCAACTAGAATTGAGATCTCCACTAGGAAGAAGATGCCGGAAGTCCTTGTCCACGGAAAGGTAGTCGGAGTAGGTGGGGTGGGCGGATGTCCGGTGATGATCCAACGACTTGGTGGAAGATGGATCTCATGATCCGCCATTCAACATTGAAGTGGCGAGGTGAGGCGTCGTCTACAATTCCCACGTCGAAGCAAGGCGAGCGTAGGATATCAATGCTCCCGTCGGCGTGGAAAACTAATCCCCACTCAAACTTCGGATCCGCCATTCAATCATTGAGGAAGATGGAGAGTAGAGAAGGGAGGGTAGTTGAGCCGAGAGCTAGGGAGGAGAAAGAGGAAATCTGAATTTGAATTTCAGATTTTAAAATTGGAGGGAGGAGTTATTTTTGCTATTAATTTCTCCCTAAATTATGAGAGAGAGATGGGTGATTAATGGGGGAAATTAATGGGTGCTTATGTGGCAAGTAGAGAGAGAGTAAGAGAGGTGTTGGGGCCGGCCATGCAAAGGGAAATCAATGGAAAATTTTCATAAATAGTGGGCCCCAATTAATTAATTAAAATCTGAGATTTAATTTCAGATTTCAATCAATTAGGGGAGTTACAAATAAGAGAGAGAGGGAAAATTTGAATTTGAATCCATGTAATTACTCCTTGATCAATTGCTCACTAATTTAGGGAGCCAAATTAGGAAGGAATTAATGGGGGTTTAATGGCTGAATTCAAACTTCTCCATGCAGGGAAGCCGGCGGGATTAGCCAAGGAGGAAGGAGGTCGGGCTGCTGGGTGTGGGAGGAGAGGGGTGGTGGCTGGGCAGGGCCGTCGGCTGGTCTAGCCGGCGGTATGGTGGAGACGGCCAGGGAAAACGGCGGGTTCAGGGGGAATTTGTGAGGGTCGGCTGCAGGAAAAATAGAGAGGGCTGAGAGGTGGTTCGGGTGAGTGGAATGGGATGGGGAGGAAGGGAAAACAGTGAATAAAACAAGATAAAACCAAGAGCTCACCGTGGTGGGCTGTTGGGTACTTCGGGTGGAGCCTCTCCAAGGCCTCCTCTCTTTCTCTCAAGCTCTCAAGCAAGAAGACAAAGAAAAAAAAAATCTCAGAATTTTCATTAATCAAGCATTAGTTCATTACATAAGAAATGACCATATATATAGGCCTCAAAATGACAACGGAAACAAAAGACTAAAATGCCCCTTGGGCTACAATAGAGACCAAATACCCATAAGGGTAAAAATGGAAAAATAAAATAAATTACTACATAACATGACAAAATAAATAAAACTCTTGATCGTGGCCGTCGATCTCCGATGTCTCCGATGGCACACATGTCGAAATTGCTGACGATGTCCTCATCAGTGGGCCAATAGGTTTTTCATTAAAATAAAGTTTATGTTATAATCATAAATGGAATGAAAAGGGAGGCATAAGACGACATATTGATATGATATGATACACAAATAGATATGAAGCGACGACTTTTAATATGTAAGGTTGGCCTACAGGGCTGGATACCAAAAAAAAAAAAATACCACAAATAGTTGGATGCATTTTCTTGTTTATAATGCTTGCATATGTATATGAAAGATATATATATATATGATAAATTATGTAATTAACATGCCATGATTTATAGAAGATACAAGTTATAATTGATACAAGTATTTGATAAGATTGATAAAACTAATACAAAGCCATTTGATATGTATATAGATCACATGATTTAAATGATATACATGTTTATCATAGATATTGTATGGCATGCATATGATAATATTATAGGGCATGCATATGATAATTATAAGAGTATTGATATAATAAGATGATATATAAATTATTTTGCAACAACATAACTTATTGATCACTACTCTCAAAACATAAAGTTGTACTGATATTTATTAATCATATGACATATTATTATTTCATTGATTGTTATATGTTTTTACAATTCTATGTTCATACTTATAGTGATTGAATGATTACATGCATATTATTCATATTGTTTTGCTTTGATTTCAATTGTAAGTTCTGATAGCATACTGAGTTGTTAGCTCATTTTATGGTTTTATATATTTTAAAAAAGAAGTCAGGATCCAGTGGAGTGAGGACAAATTAGGAATTCAAGATTTATTTTGTTTATATATTTTCTATAGTTTTATTCTTTTATATATAAAAAGTGTAAAAGGACATAGCAGTGGGTAGGGCTATCAAATACATGAGCAAAGGAACTTTGGCACTGCAAGCCATAGTGATATCAATCCCTCTGGTCTAAAATTTGTTGTAGCAACATGTAGTTGTACCTATTTTGATCTGGATTGGTAAGGATCACTCACTGAAACTTCTGCATTCATATTGCCTATATGTGTCTGTGAGTGCTTTCTATATATGTCGATGTTTAAATCTGTTCTGAAGCATACTTTTGGGTTTGTGTACATACATGTAAAAATATTATTTTTTTTCCCATGGAGAGTTACGTTGCCAACGGTATGACATTAAACTCTCCAGTAACTTTTTGAAAATGAAATAACGCAGCAACATTTGGGTCAGGCACTAGGCCAAATTTTGATAAAAATATCAAAATTCGTTCATTTTTTTTATCAAAAATAACCCCCCACAACAAGCTAGAGAGAAAGAGGGAGAGTTCTATTGAGAGATATTTAGATTTTTGTTGACTCTAATCCTTTTTTTGCTGTTGGTCCAGTTCAAAAAATTGTCTTAGTACGTTGCATTCTATTTATCTCAATTATCAAATATAAAATTTAAAATTTATGAAATTTTCTTGATTAAATTTATAATTTCATTGCGTAAAAATCAGAGTAATTTTACCCCCACGGCCCCACAAAATGCCAACCTAATAACTTTATTTATGTTGAAGATATAGCAATTTTGGACATTAAATATTTTTCTAAAAAAATTTTACCAATCAAACTGAAAAATGTGTTGTTTTTATTAAATTAGAAAATGATTATGATCCCAAAAAATAATAGTATATTAAAAGTTTTTAACTGAAAAATGTGTTATTTTTATTAAATTAGAAAATAATTATGATCCCAAAAAAATAAAATTGTAGTATATTAAAAGTTTTAAAATGACACTTTGAACAATTCTTATTAATCTGTTGAATTTTTGAAATAATGAATTTCTGCTCAATTGATAAAACTGTAGGCCAGTGTAACTCGTAAATTTCAGCAAGTTAATTTATTTATATTACTGAATTGCAATAATATATGGGATTATTTATTTGAAATATGTGAATCTAAGGAGATCTAAGATTGGGGGAAATTCTGATGTGCTAAATGCATTGGGAGTCACAAGGGCTTGAATATCTAACATGCTTAGCATTTAGGAATCACAAGGACCTATTTTCTGATATGCTAACACGAGGGATCATAAAGATATGATTCTAATGGGACGTATAAGGGTCAGAGAGAAATCTATTTCTTTTTACTCTTATATATGAAGTGTTTATTTATTTATTTTCAGTGTATATGAGTTCAACTATGTCTGTACACATATATTCTACGTTCTATTTCAGATCAGGGAATGGATAAAGAATTAATTGAGTAACTACAATCCTAGGTTCTAATATGTCTCAAGTCTGTATAGATATTTTTTGAATTTTGTACCATCATAATTATTTATTTATTTATTTATTAACTATGTTCTGATGTAGTTTATAATTCTTATATAATTATTTTTTACAATGAATTAATAAAATAGAATTTTGTTGATAAGTTTATTTTAATTTGCTTACTAAAAGTTAACAAAAAGCTTTATGATCTGTTTAATTTAAATAATAAATTTAAAAAAAAAATCTCCAAAACTTTAATCTTGGGCTCGATCGGTCACAAGCAAGGAACATATGCACGTCATATTGAGTTAGGTGGTGGCATCTGGTCTATAAGATAGGAGAGATTTTAAATTATTTTAATAAAAGGTCATGATAGTGATTGAGATCGTACAAAAAAAATATAAAGCCTTTTTTATATTTTAAATTATTTTTAGAACTAATATAATATCTAATACTAACAAGATTTTCTTTTATTAGTTTTGCCGATCATACACTGACTGACAATATACATGGACTTCATGCATTTCTTCTTCCTACATGGGCCCATGTTACCTTTCAAGGTAAGTTATAATTTTACTTCACATGAATCAACATTTTTAATATCCTATAATTAACCATATTATTTAGTTGCCTTTTAAGGCAAGTTATAATTAAAATGAGGCCCAATAAAAACTGACATCTTATAGAGGGCTCTCGGGATTAATTATTTTGTGCAGACGTCGAATACCGTATGGAGATCAACTAGAATGCATCACATCACCCTGTGCTCGTTACCGTCACTCAGAACTGCTTGATACCGCTCGGTACTGCTGACACACATTCTGATTGGTCTTCAGACCACGTTTTGTATCCTGTCTCCGCACAAAATAATTTCTCCACAAGAACAGACATGCTAAATACACCTACCTTAGTTTCCATGTGTTCATCGTAGGTATCTTGCCAGAAATTAAAAAATTTTACAAACCAATTGCTTGAAGATGAAATGGAGCCAACTCCATGCTACTAGCTGTGGCAAATCTTACAGTGTCATAGATTCTGAAGGAAACCCTAAACAGGAATTTTATTCAACAAGAACTGCAAATCATAAAGGAAGCAATGCATCCATTAAAATAAGTTACATATGAGAGTTGCAAATCAGCAACTTCGCAAAAGCACCATATCAAATATTTATACAAGGGTTGCACAGAAGCAACCCCATAGAAAGCAGCACTTGTTTCACTGCATTGGAGTGAATCAAAACACACATCAAATATCATATTAAGGATTCCTACATTGGTATTTACATACTTCATAGCAATAAGTTGACTGACAACATACCTGTAGAGTACATTCTATGACTTCCTGTAGATCTCATGAGCATGAGCAACAGGCACATATATCACATTGGACAATGTGCTGTTTGATCGTCCATAGAACAGGTAAACAAATACACCAATCAGCAACCATGCAGAAACACGCAACCAGGTGTCAGCACTGCAAACGGAAGATTGGCAATGTTCATATAAACAAAATTCTTTCTTTTCTACACTAAAAATAAGGGTTTTGTTTACTGCTCACCCGAGATTTACAAGCAAGTAGGAGTTTATAAGAATGCAGCAGACAGGCAGAAAAGGAACTAAGGGGCAAATGAAACCTGCAGGGTTCATTGCAAAACTAAATGCAGGTTATAATGATTTGGAGCGCAGTGAAGAAAATGGTTAGTAAAATTCCTACACATTATTACCTCCTGAATGTCCGAAGCTATGTCGGCCATCATCTTGTTCAATCCAAGAGAGTACAAATAGGCCTACCAGAAAGAGTAAAGCCCCAAAAATGCATGCTGAATAGACCAGGTATCTAAAATGTGGCAGAACAAGTAAAAAAAAATGAAGGATTAGAATTGTCTTGCAGAGAAGAGCGTTACTGAAAGTTAATAAGGTAAATAAAATATAGGTTTACTGGCATGGTTATATATGGACATTGACACGCCCAGTCTACTAATAAATAAAATATCAATTACTAAAATATTAACTTAAGACAATGTAAAGCACTTAGGAACTGAAGCAAAACTTTACATCTTGCCTGTTCTCAATCACATCTTCCCTTGAGGATATGCTGCCCAAGTAAAATGACACGTTTAATAACAATTATTTAAAGCAAACTCTTGATGATTTGTTGTGCTAAGGGACATGTGGTCAATGCTACAAATTGAAACTGTTAGTCCTGAACCGGCCTAGCTGGCTCAGAGACCAGCTCAAGTATACAGGAGGCGGAACATGCCCGCCTCCTTTGGAGCTTGCCGCCCACATTAGTGGGCCCCACTTGGAGCAAATTGTGGAGAGAGGGTTGGGTGGCTAGGGTGAGAGGGAAATTTTGAATTAGGGATGTTTGAATTAGGGAATTATTGCATTAATAGTATGGCTTGTTTAGGGTTAGGGTTATGCATGATTATTTGTTCTTTGGAGTTTCCTCTTGGTGTCTTGTGCTCTAGAACTTCTTCTAGAGATAGGGAGAGAATGATCCTCCTCTTGAATTGAGGATCAATTGTATCTTGCTTTGTGTTTGTCTTGCTTTGGATTTCCCTAATACAATCCACTGATTTTGGGTTGTTTTCATCACGTTCTTGTGTGCTTTCTTGCTGTTTTTATCAATTATTGTTAGGGTTGCTTGCGAACTCGAGTATTTCCTATCAGAAACATGCCTTCCCATGCAATCTCATGGGATGCTGCAGCGCTTATAACATGCATAGCACCATAAACATTTGTTGGAATTTATTAGTGTTCAAAGTCTGATATGGATAGGCAGAGTGAAATTATATATGACAATCCAAATTAAATTAACCCATTGAACCTTCAATTCACTGACGAATTACCGCATGTGAAAGAGATTCATACTTCTATAAAACATACCTAAGAAGTCTCAGTTTGTTTCAGGAAATATGCGGAAAATAAGGTTTCTCAAATCATGACTTACTGAGGCAAGCAGGTTGTTGATGCTGATAAAGTGAGAATAAAAACTCCTGTGCACACAAACGCTATACTCCATGAGGCAAACTTACGCCTTTTAAGCTCATTCATTTTGTCTGCAACATTAATAAAACATGAATATTTGAAGAAAAACGTTTTTCGGCGTGAAAATGTCATCCAAAACAGTCAGAGCACTATAAAAGTGAGAGTGCAGTAGGTTTGAGGAATAATATGGGTATTTAATCCATGCGTGAAGATTCCAGGCTTCATTTTTAGAAAGAAAGGCATTTGTTCAGATTAATTGTATATGAAGCTTAAATTGTAAATGTGCTGAAATCCCAGGAGCAATGAAGGAGACGGACAACTATAATGTGCAGGAATTATGATTGCTAAAGTTCAAGATACCAAATTGGAAGATAATAAATGCGGGAACAGCAATCAAGAAGGCAATCAAAGGCAGTCAGCCGAAATCCAAATAAGAAAACTTACACTATCACATGCTAATTGATACCATGTATCTTCCTATTTATTTTCTTACTGTTTACATTTTTTTTCTCTCCTCGTTTGCATTTGTATTCAGGGAGTGGTGCCTTATGAGCCCATTTGGAGAAAAGGTGATCAGTAATGATGTGGCCAAAGTGACAGGATGAAATACCCGATTCACAGGCATCAGCGCATCATAGTTCCTAGGTGTTAGTGGATTACACCAGTTGGGTATCTATTGTATCTATATAACGTTGCCCTCCGCCTTCACTTTAGAATAAGCAAGACAATAAGTCCTCTTCTTTGTCTTTTTTACTTCTCTTTATTTTTACAAAATGCAATCAAAGACGATACATAAGTAACTGAGTTGACCATGAAGAAGTAAGAAGGTATTACATTGATTGTTGTCCTTTATGATAAGAGGATAATCTATGGAAGTTCCATCACCAGAGCTTTGCTTCTCATTATCGTTGACTCCAATAAGATCTTTTGAAAGTTTCACATCTTTCTCTTCACTCATATATGGAAAAGACAATGGCTCAATTGATTCATGGATTGATGATGGAAGAGGTATCTCATCAGGCGGAACATATCTAAGTATCAAGATTGAAATTGCAACGATGGTAAATGCTAGGAGTGTTCCAACACTAACCTGCACACAACATAGCAATAATATTTATTTTTACGTAAGCTCATTGCAGCAGCTAATTTTAATAAAATGAATATATAGGCCGTTTAATTTTTTACCATTCCAGACAACTGGGAAACATCCATGAAGAAAGCTAGGATAGCTGCGGTTACCCCAGTAACAAGTGTGCCCTTGATAGGAACTTGAGTGCGTTTGTTAACATCAGAAAAGAAAGATGGCAACAATCCATCTCTTGCCATTGCCATGAGAATTCTTGGCTAAATTAGGGACACAAAACAAATTCGAGGGAGTGAGCTCCAAATTTTGATTGTAATAACAAACAATCAAACATTTTGAAATAAAGAATAATTATTTTCATCTCAAAGCAATTGATTATAAGCAGATAGTTGATTGACCAGAGTATAAAATGAAACATTTTATGTTTCTTTACAAACTACTAAGAATGGCGCCTAATACTGGTAAACAGAGAAAGAATAAATCAGCCTCACAAGGTCACTAAATTTGAATTTATAAAACAAGTATGAATAAGGATCTTCAATTTCCAACCATGTTAAACCAAGTGACGCAAGATATTATCTAAAAAAAAACTACAACAATGAAGCAGCATAATTGGCACTCAGAGCAATAAAAATAAAAGTACGTATAAAATGAAAATCAGGCAGAAAGAGTAACATACGTGACAACATGCGTGACACTCACGCAATTTGAAAGAACGTTCAAATAACAAATATGAGACATGGGTGAGACTTGGAAGTATGTTGAAGAGAGAGAGAGAGAGAGAGATGAAAAGTAGAACAAGAACCTATATTTCTTTAATAAGGTCAATTTCATTTGGTTTACATTGTGGTTCAAACTCTGAAGATAAATGTAGCCAGACGGGTCATTCACTTATCTGACTGTAACTATCAGTGAAATCATGTTGGGTTTAAGTCACCACCTAAAAACTAGAAAACTCCCAAGAGTTATTTATGCCATAGACAATAGAGAAAGATATCATGATTAGGAATGCATCATGCTTGTTTTGTGATAGAAAAGTCCCCCTCAAACTTAAGTGAAAATTCTATAACATGGTGGTAAGATCTGTAATACTTTATGGTATAGAATGTTGGCCATTAAAAGAGAAGCATAATATCGAGTTAACTGTTGCAAAGATGAGGATGCTCAGGTGGATGGGTGGCTTTACTCTTAGAGATAAAATGCGAAATGAGCATATACATGAAAAGGATGGAGTAGCTCCAGTGAAAGATAAGATTAGAGAGAGTCGCCTTAGATGGTTTGGCCACATAAAGCGGCGGCACTCCAATACCCAGTTAGAAAAGTAGATGTATTAGATTTGGCTTATGTTAAAAAAGGTATGGGTAGACCTTAAAAAAACTTGGTTATAAAATATTAGAAATGACCTTTCTTTTTTAGATTTAAATGAAAATTTGACTCTTAACATGACACGAGAAAAAAGATTTATGTAGCCGATTCAACGTAGTAGAATAAAGGCTTGATGTTGTTGTTGTTGTTGTTGTTGTTGAAGTTGTTGTTGTTATTGTTGTTGAGAGAGAAAGATGTCCTAATCAATTTGGAGACAAATTGCAATGACATCAACACAAGATACACAGCCTATAGATGAGATGTTTCGTTATACCATCATATATGCTTTGTTGAAACACATTGTTTTGCATACTTGCATGTATTGTTCAGACTGATTGAAAAGCAAAGATATGATGAAACAAATCTAAAATAAATTGATAAACGTTACCACATTTCTGATTTATTGCATTGTAAATGGTAGATCAGAGTCAGCTGCTCCACTATAGTACCTGAGGAAGAATAGAACCCAATAAAGTTGAGCAAAGAGCAAGTACAGCACCAGCAGCGACAACATACCTATAATAGAAAACATCAAAACATGAAGAGATTATCAAAGATGGAAAATAAAAAAAAAAATTCAGTTTCTGAAACAAGGATATAGCATTCTAAGAGAAGTTACATTGCCCAATGCACCCCATGTTCAGCAAATGCAGATGAAATTGGCGTGTCTGGGTTAATTGCAAAATATGGCACCAGGCCTACAACAACTACGGATACCATCATATACAGCAAACAGCATATAGATAGAGACAATGCAATTCCCACTGGTAAGTCACGCTGTGGACTTTTCACCTGTATGAGCAGATAGAGAAAAAAAAAACAATATGAATCAAACAAAACTCAATAAACCACTTTTAAGTTCATAAGGTCATCATTCTCCAACCATCCACTTTAAGTGCAAAGTAATAAATCTCAGAACCCTATACCAAATTTGTTGCTACCATAAGCTCGGAACTTGAGTGTCTTTCTAATGAGAAAAAAATCTCTCTCGTTATTGAGAGGGTTAATTAATCTTCAGACTAGCGCATATAGAAAATTTGGAGCAAAATCATAAAGTTATCTCAAAATAAAAGTAAAATTTCTAAATAGTGTCTTATCTTTAATCTAATTTGTATTCTAAAAATTTGACCCAACAACGCATCCAAAACTTTCCCCACAAGAGGCTGAGGCTCGAATTTTTAAAGCCCACACAAGTAAATGAAAAATCACCAAATATTCTCAGCAATAAGTAGAGGGTGGCTAACGTAAAGCCACCAGATTATTGGTATAAGACTACTGATGGAAATGATAATGATAAACATTCTGAAATTACTTATTATCACATATTAAAAAGACTCGTGAATAGGTTGAACGATATTAAAATTAGAAAGCATACCTCCTCTGCAGTGCTTGCAACTGAATCAAAACCTATATAAGCAAAGAAAACTGTTGCTGATCCAGCGAGCATGCCATTTACACCATGTGGAAAGAAGCTGGAAATCGATTAAAGCAACAAAAAAACGGGGATTAGTGAACTCATGGCCGCATAAAAGTTAGGGCCAAGAACAAGAGTATAGAAATCCTATATTACCCGCTTGTGACAGTATAGCCAACCCAGCCGGACCGGAAGCCAATATATCCACCAGCAATGATGACAAATAACATAACGCAGACATTTAATGATGTGACAAAGGCTTGAACTGATGAACTCTGCATAAGTTGTTTCACAAAGTTGAGAAAACATACATAATACAAGGCAAAGTTATATCGTAAAATAAAATAAAATTTAGTACCTCTTTTATTCCTAAGCAAAGGAGGCCAGTTATAATTAGAACAAGAAGAGCAGCGCATGGATCAACAACAACATCAATCCCTGGTATGTGAACCCGTGCTAGGAAAGCAGGCAAACTATCCGGTCCTCCAAAAAACAAGGCCTAAATTAATGAAAAAATTAGTTTCAAGTTAAGATTTCTAAAAACAGATAAATTAAACAGCTGACAAAATTTAAGGCACTGATGAGGAAAAATCTAAAAGCTTTGATAATTCTGCGGAGGTCTTAGAACACCACGAAATACATACCACATAAAGAATGAAGTTAAACCATACCATGGACATCCAGGAAATTGATACATACCAAAAAAAATAAAAAAATAAATAAATAAAAAAACATACCAAAACAAAATTTCCAGTATGCCAGAGTACGAAAGCGGTTGATTTCTAGATCAAATCCTCAGAAGCTTCAATAACGAGAAAAAAAATCTGCTGCTATCTAATTTTATTACAACTTTATTGATCTATCATCATAAATGAATCGGTATTTAAGTGTTTTACAAAGAAGAGATTAATCCATTCGACACCAATAGATAATACTAACTCATAAAGACGATGCTTGCTTTTCTGACTTGAAGCTTTCAACAAAAAAGCAAGTAGTAGATATTTCCTACAGAAAACCCACAAATTATACCACTCCTATTTCCAGCAGATCGCGAAGTATGGTTCCATATTGGTGTCAGTAAGATTTTTCCTACAGCATAAGCCCTTTAAGCTGTAGAAGCAGCATAATAAACCTGCTTTGTAACACAAGGAACTCCAATCACCAAGGCCGAACTCAAAGTCCAGCTACTTTAAACCATTCACAGTATGGAAAGATAAATTGTGTTAAAACCGAGAGAGTAATATATCTTCATTAGGGCGAACCAATCAGTAAAGTAACTCCGAAGTAAAATAAGCAGGACATTCAAAAAGCAATATATCTTCATTATGCTGCAAAGGTGGATGCAATCATAATCACATTACCAAATTTGGAGAAATCCCACGAGCAACAGCAGAACCACCGATTGTATATTCAAGTATTAGAGCCCAACCAATCAGCCAAGCAACACTGGAAAATACGGCACAATTGTGATCAATGAATAATCAGTATTATTTATTTGATACATATCCTAGTAGTATAAAATATTATAATTTTAGTTTAAACAAGTCTTGAGCCTTATTGAACAAAGCTTTAATTTCAACATCAAGGAATGACAACTTGACAAGAAAAGAATAAATAATAAATATAGATGGTCAAAATTCAACTTGGCAGAAAAGAAGGGTCTAATTACCCTTCCCCAACACAAATGTATGAATAATGATAGGCACTGCCGGCAGAAGGGCAGCGACTTGCAAGCTCCGCATAACAAAATGCTGAAAGTGCAGCGGCAATTCCAGCGATCAGAAAGGAAATTGTCAAAGATGGACCAGAGTGTTCTCTAGCAACTGTACCAACAAGAACATATACACCAGCACCTATTGTGGAGCCAACGCCTGATCACAGAAAGAAAAAACTGTTAATTAAAGGCAGACTAAACTAATGACAATCAAGAAACAAAATATTTTCGACATGGTGTCCAATATAAACTTGTGCAAAAAATAAGGCAAAATTACAGTGATCAGGAATCATGCAAAGTAACCTTAGTTTCAAAGAACAAAACAATTTAAACCAAATGGGGAAGTGTTCAAAGAACAAAACAATCCACATCACATGCATGATGAAAAAACTATGTTTAACTAAGGATGCAATCTAGTTGAGATCGAGTTGGGATAAGCTCAACTCATGTATTAAGCTGTCGCTCGAACCCAAGCTTGAGCTTAACTTGATTGAGCTCACCATAAAGTTGAACTTGACTAAATTGTTCAAGCTCAATCAATAGTTCGAGTTGGTTAAGCATTACTAACATAGTTTAGTTGGAAAAATGCATAAAATTCTTGCCAGTTAATGCCTTTTTTTTTAATCAAAATACCCTTTACAAGCCAGCTTGATGAGTCATTGAGTCGAGTAGGGTCGAGCTCATAATAACAGATAAGCTTTAACCAGTGTAAATGGCTCAACTCGAGTACATCCTAAGTATAATTGAAGTTCTAACTGGCATATAAATGCAACATAAAATTACTCCGTTTAATAATGATGTAATTCCAACAAAGATGGCTAAGTCAATATCATAGAAAATAACATAATTGTACACACTATAAACAAAGAAAACAAAGTTTATTTCTTGTGTTGTGGTTTATATGATATTATGATTGTTAGGAATAGCACCTAACTTCAATATGGAATTATTAACCCAAGAGTGAATGCAATGAACTAGTAGGCAATTGTAAATGACATCAAGTGTTAGAATTACACTCCATGTATTCGATTTTAGATTTACTCAAATGAAAATCTTTAGACTCTAACTTTTTCATCAACTCCCTCTCTATTCTTATCAATAAGAAGAATATCACCAGCCAAAAGCATACACCAAAGTACATCTTCTTACAAATATCCAGTAAGAACATCCATGACTAAAGCAAAAGGAGATGGGATTAAAGCTAATCCTTAATGCAATCCAATTGAAATAGGAAAATATTTTATCCAATCACCTTGTGTTTGAACCCAAGTAATAGCACCTCTATACATATCCTTAATGACTCAAACATAAGCATTATTAACTCGTTTCTTTTCTAGAACTCTTCAAAGCATTTCTTTTGAAACTTTATCATATATTTTTTTTCTAAATCAACAAATGTCATATGTAGATCCTCCTCAGTCTCTCTATACTTTTCCATCAAACTTATTTGCACAGCTAATGCACACAAAATCCCATATAATGTTCTCTTATTAATAGGTTTCGAAGGAGAAGTATTTTAAAACTAGAATAGGAACTAACTTAGGAAACTGAAATAACAAACCTTAATCATAGATAAATCGAATTTTGAACTTATAATTATCTTAACATATTCATCTTTTGACCTGCCCAAAGTTTCTAATAAATTATGAAGTTACAGCCAAACAACTCTCCCTCTTCACTCAATAATGTGACAATAAATTGAATCTCATATATGACTGATCACCAAGCTCTCAAAGCCTCAAAAAGGGTAACACCACAATCCAATCTAGATAAGCCAAATTGCGATCGAAATTAACATTGAAGAGAGACCTCTAAAGCATGTTTATTAAACATCAAGGAGAAACCATTGAAATTGAAAGAGCACAGATCATATATTTTTTATTCCTTCAAAGTGATCGTCTCTTAACACTAAATATTGAATTGACATTACCTGACACTGTGGCAAACTGTGTGATGTAGCTAGCACCAACAGTCTAGCTGCTCATGTGGGGCCCAGGACCTCCTTTATCGCCTAAAGGAGAAGAAAATTTGGAGGAAACTCTTTGGGAGGAGAGGGGGGAGGGCCTCCTTTGGAAAGATGTAAGAGCTTTTATTAGATGTAAGGGACATTTATTAGGGGATTTGAGCTATTTAAGAGGGGAGATTATGGAAGGGTTAGGTATTTTATGTGATGTTTGGAATTTCAACAGCAATTTATGTGAGGTGTTTGGGTTCCTAGTAGTTGCTAGGAATTGTGGGAGAAACGATTCATCTCTCGAACAATGAATCAACTTGTATCTTGTCTTACTTTGCTTGGAAATTAGTAAAAACAACTCTCTTTGTGTTATTTCTGGATCTATTTAGAGTAAGTTGTTGTTTTTTATATTGTTGTGTGTTGTTTTGATCATCAAGTCCTATCACTGTTCAGCACAAAATCGATAAATTTAACCATCTAAAAAAAAATTCTCCTTCAACATAAGTCTTCTTACATAACGAAATATCTCTTAGAGCTAAAAACATAACATATTTATGCTTCTCTCATCAAAATTTGATTAAATAAAAGCAAAACCACTCAAGTTGAACCCTATAACATAAATCCACGAACTATTATTGCCTTCATGAAAACAAAAGCAACTTTGGAGTTATTTCGAAGAGTGTAAAGTAAATGCAGGTAAATTTTTTTTCTCAGTTTGAAGTAAATGAATGCAGTGTAAAGTTTGACAGTGGTGGTCAGCAACAAGTGGCGGCAGCCAGCGGAGGTGATCGATGAGGGGAGGCAGCGGAGGTGGCCGACGATGGGAGGCAGTGGTGATGGTCTGCGGCTAGTAGCGGCATTGGTGGTTGGCAGTAGGGTGGCAGCGACAGCTGGTGGCAATCAGTAGCGGGGTGGCACGAGGCGACCGACTGGTGGAGGTGGTCGGAGGCGGTCGGTGGCTAGTGGTGGATGGTGACCGGCAGGTGGCGGTGATGGAGGCAGCCGGCAAATGAGGTCAAGCGAGCTTGATTGCAGTGTAAACAATTCTCACTCAAAACTGGACAATCATAGCTTCTCTCAAAAATGAACTTAAATGATTTATATTGCATTTACTTTACTTTGCATTCCTTTTTCTTTCAAACACTAATATTTTTAAAACCCCTGCATTCGAAATACTTTACACCCATTTTACTTCCAACCAAACAACCTCTAAGTTGATTCTCTCTCTTCCATCTAAGATGATGCCACAAAAATGCATAAAAGGAGATAAAGATTGCAATAGAAACAAAGCTTAGTCCTCAAATGCTTATTGTCAATAATTACATTAATATTATGCAAATCTAGAATAATGAATTGAACTCATTAAGATGTTATTTAATGGGTATGTTGTTAGACACAGAACAGGCTTCTGCCTATTTGGCGGAACAGCCTTCCGCCTATTTAATGGAGGTGGGACCCAACAATACAGCAGCAATTAAGGCCAACAATTAAGAGGAACTTAAAAAGGTGATTATGAGGGAAATTTAAATCATGAGAGCTATTTTGACATTAACTATATTTTATATGCTTTAAATATATTGTTTAATTTAGGGTTAAGTTTTATCTGGTGTTTGCTAAAATTTAGAGAGTTCTTAGGGATTTTTGGGCTCTAGTCGCCGACTAGAGATTTGGGAGAGCCGTATCCTCCTCTCCAATTGAGGATCCATAGTATCTTATTTGTTTTCTTCCCTATTTCATCAAATAAAGAGAGCTTTCTTCCATTATCTTTCCACAAATAGCCTTGGAGATTGTATTTGAATTGCTAAAATTCAATTTTAGCTAAGGGGGATTGGATTTATACAACCACTTTCTATCAAAGTGGTATCAGAGAGTTGTCCTAGGCAGAAATATAGGGCTTCCTTGTTGATTTCTGTTGTGTTTTCCTCTCCGTATTACTAAATTTGGCTATTTGAAAACCAAGTCAGTTGTTTTTTTTTCGTCGTTTTTTGCTTCCTATGGCGAGAAGAAATGTAGAAGCATTGTAGGGGGAGATTGAATAAATGAAATCTGAAATTTCATATCTTCAAACCCAAATTTCATATTGCAAAAGCCCAATTGCAGCCATCCATGAGAAGATCGATGGAAATTTTTCATCCTAGAGAAGATGTTGAAGAAATTGCTCGAGGGCCAAACCAAAACATCTCCGACGGAGGTGAGGGAAGCCGCCAACAGCCAAGGAAGTGGGGAAATCCCTAAGCTAGTAAGGCGAAGGGAAAATTAGGAGGTGGAGATTTTGGAGGAAGTAGAAAAAATGCCTCCCCTAAAGCCTATTCCTAGGGAGAAGTCAAGTAGAGAGTATGTGGAGAGGCATGAGAGGAGGGGTATTGAATTTGAAAGGAGAGGGGCAATATTTAAAAAGTGAGGGCTTGATTATGATCGAAGGGGTGTCAAATTTGAAAAGAGAGGATTGAATATAATCGAAGTGGTGCTGAATTTGAAGGGAGAATGTGGGTTTGTGATGAAACGTTTGAATATGAGCAGAGAAGGAATAATTGGCACAATTGGGGGGAACCATCCCCCTTGTAGAATGGAACATTTTGAAGAAAATAGGGGTGACGAAGGAGATCTAAGAGTGACAAAGTTGAATGCCTCTTTTTAAGGGAAATAATGCCCATAGGTAGATCTATATTGTGAAAATGTACTTTACCGTCAATAGGTTGACGGAGGATGAGAGACTAATGGTAGCCAAGATGTGCTTGGAGGAAAAAGCTCTAGAATGATATCGGTGGAGGGATACGAGGCGACCCATATGGACATGGAGAGAGTTTAAGGACTGCTTGTTGGAAGTTGGAATGTTCCCAAACCAGTAGGGGAGGGAACTTCTATGATCAGTTATTCGCCCTGACGCGGGAGGGAATAGTTGTGGAGTACCGTGAGCAGTTTGAGCACTTGGCCAGCCGACTTGACCGGCTTTCAGAGATTATACTGGAGGGGAACTTTATGAAAGGGCTCAAACCAAAGATTCGAGTTGTAGTTGGAGTGATGAGTCCACGTGATTTGGGAGAGCCTATGGAGCTCGCTCAGTTGATGGAGAATCAGAGGTACCTGGAGAGTGGCTGAAGGCAACAGCTCATGAGGTTCGTACAGGATGACCATCACCTTTTTTTGTATCCAAGGAGCTGACATCGGGTACTCTTAAGACGACCTTGAAAGAGAATATAGTA